ATATAGCCGTTATGAAGCCGTTGAGAACAAACTAATGATATAATATTTGTTAGTTAATTATTCATGATTATAAAATACTAATTAATCATGTATATTATCTTAAAATCACCGAGCCACTATGTGAACAATTTAATGAATATAAGTGACAAAACAAATAAAAATGTCACTCCACACTACTCGATAAATCTTTCGATGGGTACAAGAATAAGCAGTTATAAATTTCACACCACATTACTGGGTAAACCATTTTGTGGGCGTTAAGTATAAGTAATATTATTTATTATAACTTGAAGTTATACATCATAATTAGTAGTAATCATAAACAAATTTAATAATATCATCTTACCACATATTATTGACTATGGCATAGCCTTACTTGCCAATAATAATGGTAATATGTAAATAATGTCATATTTAGTATATTCATACCACATATACTCGACTATGGCAGAGCCTTACTTGTCAAGAATAATGGTAATATGTATATCAGTAAAATATACTAATTTTATGTAATATATATACATACATATATAATTAGTATATTCCTACCTTTCTTGACCGGGTAGAGCGTTCGTGCTGATAACGTGTTATAAAAATGAAAAAAGATAAAGAACACAAAATAGACACCGGATATAAATTATACTGAATATTTCTCTTCTTCTACAATGAGCAATTTTTCACTTCATTTGCAATGCCTTTTATAGGCAAATTCTACCGACAATCCTACACAAATTATTCATTCCCCCATACCTCATTTAATATGCCCATTCCTCCAATAGTGAATGTCACTATTTTGCATAGTGGTTCATTTCACACATTTCTAACAATTCAAAGATTATTTGTAAACATAAATGTTTAGTGTAATATAAATAGTGTTTATAAAAAGTAGAAAATAAAATAAAAAATTATAATAGTATGTATTACATATGGTAAATTTTAGTATTTACTTTAATTAAAAAATAATATATTTCCCTTAAAATTATCTATATTACGGATATATGCACGGGCCGGTTTAGTGAGTCGGCAGTTCCAGACCGGTTTAGTGAACTGCTAGTTTCGGGCCTGCTTGGTTCAATTAAAAAAATAATAGATAATAATATATAATAAATTTTATTCTAAAAAAAAGTTCGAACCGTCGGTTTTGATTCCGATTCGGAACTTCTCACTCCAAAATTCCTAAAATAGGAATCTATACACATGTCAACTAAACCGATTCGAAACTGCTCACTCCAAAATTCCTAAAATAGGAATCTATACACATGTCAACCTATACGGGGCGAATGCTGATTCAACGTTTGGAAATAGTGCTACAACAACCGTCAGACACGCATAACGAATATGTATACTAGCAGGCGCTTCTCTCTCTTATTTTGTTAGTCCTTCTTGATGGCACGGGAATAAAGGGTATCCCCTACGGCAAGCTTCTTTTGATATGAAGCTACTCATTCTTTTACCGTAAAAAAGTCACTTCCCTCTCCCTTACTACTTCTGACTTCAACGCGACCCACAATTTCGTTAGTGAGGAGTACGCCCGCAGGCTTCGCCTCAACATCGAGCCGGCAAACGGAAGTATGAAGACGACGAACGCTCCTGGTGTCTGGAGTGGGAAAAAGCTCGGTTCAAAAACCATATTTGTCTGTAGATTCACAAAATCAATCTCAATTGGGAACTGTTAATTCACCTATATTTCTTCTTCCGACATTCTAAGATGTAGAAATGACTTCGTCATGCAGAGGATTCCGCTGCTTATTAATATGTTGGCCGAGAAAGGGCCAAGCTCCATTTCATTGTTACGGGGTGCCACGCTATGTGCTTTTTTTCCGTCCGAACAAACTGAACATCTAAAGAGCTCATCATTGAGCTAGACCGGAAAGATTAACGCCGAGCTAAGGTCATAATAGCCCGAGACTTATTGGGGGGCTGAGAATGAGGCTGCAGGTCTCTGTCGATTTATACAGTCGTGGACCCGTAAATAGGCCGACAGCAGGAGAAGGTCAATCGTCACTCGACATCTCCTTTGTTTATACTCTGTTGAACTGTGTGTACCTTGTATAGTGAAACGGCCTTAGGGTAAGGAGGAAAGGGAGGGCAGCTTTTAGAGATTCCACCTTTTTAAATTCAATTATAGTCGCCCTCGAGCTTCCTCGTTTACCCTTCGATGACTCGGTTAGGGGTAATCTCTCGCGATCTTCGTCAGTCCAGGCACCTCTTCAAACGGGATACGTTCCACCCGTAGTCTCGGGGCAAGCTGTCCCTCTTGCAAATCAGCCATGTTTCACCTCCCAACCCACATCAGGCCCAATTGTTCAAATTACAAATATGTGGCTCGGAACTGGCCTGGTCAAACCACGTGCTAGGTTCAAGATCTGTTGACCATGAACCAATTTTCGGTCGGTTCAAAGCAGAACGGACGTACTAGCCCGGCCCGCGGCCATGCCTACATGTCAACAATGAAAAAAATACATAAACTAACGCATCTTGCTCTTCAAAAAAAAAAAATCTTGTCATGCGTGTCCCAACAAGCTCTAAATCAACAACCATCACAACAAAAGGACTATTAGATACTTCGAGCACCTTCTCGAATACGCTAGTTGTCCAACTGTAAGGAAGAATTGTATATTGAGGCCCTCACACTTGAAAATTTTTGTACTAAATTTTGACAATTAATGAAATTGACAATGCACAATTGCTCGAGCCGAATCTAACCAAAAGCACAACACGGTAAAGACGAAGGATATCTGACAATAGTCAAATGAAAAACTCATTCCAAAATAATATTTTTATTGGAATTTCTATTAGACAATTCCAACATAAATAATAGGATTAGAATTATCCATTAAAATTATCGTTGAAATTCCTTTAGAATATACAGTTTTGCTATGAAGCCAACAGTTGGCTCCATAGTGGGGCCAACCTTCTATATACAACAAATAAACCTACCATATTAATAAAATCATATTAATGTTATTTAAGTAATCACTGAGTATGGTAGGTTTATTTATTGTATATAGAAGGTGGCTCCACTATAGAGCCAACTGTTGGCTTCATAGCAAAACCGATAGAATATATTTCCGTTAAAATTTCCATCAAAATTTTATCATTTTTTTTGGTGCTCTGATTTGGGGGCCGCAACTGTCCGAGCACATCTCAGGTGTCGGCCTCAACCTTAGGTGGGAAGTAGATTTGATATATTATATCTTTCAAAAGCTCAATTCAGTAAATGGAATTTTTTGAAAAAAAGACCATTCGGAATAAAGTTCATTTCGAAATATTATATTTATGTGTGTGTTTCCTAGATCACTATATAAATGTACCTCTTCATGTGGTTTCAATTTAGTTGAGTTGTGTAAGAATTATGTAAATGTACTTGTCGACAGTCGACCTGGTCAGCCCAACTAAAAAAGTAGCATGGAGGACTAATCACTGACCCTACAATATGAA